GGTTTTATGTGGCTCCAATAAGAGACTCGCTCTCAAGGGATTTCTTGTAGCCCACCATCAGGCAGATTAAGCCAGTGATAATGGACCTGAATGGGCTTCGATGGGAGAGAGCCCACCTGCTGGCAAACAAACTTAGTGAGCCCATTAAGGGCCCACGGTCAAAAAACCATCAATAATAAAAATCCTAAAAGTGGTCCCCAAAGTTTGGGTAAGAGGGTGGTGACCCAGGGGAAACCATCCCTCCTCTTGCTCTCTCTGCTTTTTTATTTTTTTATACTCTAATCCTTTCCTGACCTTAGCAAAACTGTCTCTAACTATCCCAGTGTGATCAGTATAAAACAACATTTCTCTTTTAAGGCAGCGCAAAGGGATCAAAATCTAAAATTCTTAACATATGCATTAAATCCAAACATTTTCCATGGGTGTGTCAAACTTTTCTCAACATCTATAAGCAGTTACAAATATCATTAGGTCAATTCCAGTAAGGGTACAATGACATTGTTGTTATTAAATAACAGTTTTAGTCTCTGAATAACAGTAAAACACCCAGTCTGCCCACTTCTTAAGTGAAGAGGGGTTAATATTTTAATCAATATGAGTTCTGTGTCCCAGAGATTAAAACAGTCAGAGGTTTAGTCTGCTTCTCAGCTCCAAAGCAAACAGAGTTCAAACTGCAGAAAATTGTAGTCACAGTGGGGCATCCCAAGTCTGAATGCAGCTCAAAATTCATTTTTTTAGGGCAGGTGACATTCCTGGGTAAGGTGAGCTGGATTCAGCTACCTAAAGCACATCTTTGCAATTATCTCAGCAGGGTCTCTTTGTGTGGAATCTCTGGAGGCAGAATGGTATAGCATGTTGGTAGCAGGGCCTGTGGGGACAGGGAAGATTGGATCAAGGATTCCTCTCCCACCTGTTTCTTGAACTCCTCTATGGGGTGTTTGTCGCTATGATGTCATCAGGTCCAGCTTTTTTTTTTTTTTTCTATGAAAAAAGCATCTATCCTGGCCAGTGGGACAAGAACAGGCCACCACTGCTGGTGATAAATCTTATGTTTAGTAAGGTTTTTTTCACTTGTCCTGAACCTGTGACCCTTTGAAAGAAGCTGGGATCACAGGTGTGTGTAACCACACCACACGTTCTGCTGTTCAGTGTTGAACTGAAAATACCTTGTAAAAAAGGCATTGTGTTTTTATGTCTGTACTTTATTATATATTAGATGAATAAAGAATATTTAATTTTTGGAATATCACTTTAAGTCGCTTCTTCATTTATCCCTAATAAAAAAAATTTCCTTGCAATCCATTTTACTTGCTGCATCCTCTTGGAAGGTGGAAAACATCCTCAGGGACTAGCAGTCAATGTGTTCAATATAAGAGTCTTCAAAGCAGACCTATGGAATGAACCATCTTGTCACAATTATGGCTGTATAAAAATTTATTTTATATCATTAAACTGTGTGAACTTTATCCACAAAAGAAACTTGATAGGTTTATGACCTTATCTGAACAATAATCTTGTTCACAGTAGACTTGAAAAAATAGGTCTACTCATACAAACTCCTAAGATTCAAATGAGATAACCCAGGGAAATGTCTTGCCAGTGTGTCCATCTTCTTTATAGTAAACACAAGGTAAGTTTTCTTTCAGTGCTTTGTGGAAATAATTCTGAAAAGAATGGTAAGTTTTCCTGAGCTTTGGCACTTTTAAGGAATCCCCCACAAGTTTCCAGTGAGCTATGCAAACCAATTTCTTACAGACACTTTTGTTGGGAACAGTTGGAGTCCTGGCCTTCAGCTGTTCTTCCCTGCTAGAGCCTTCTAATTGAAGTTACTAAAAGCTGTGCCTTGCCTGGAGGATCAGAGGATAGGATTTTGACCTTTTGGCTATTGACTGCTGGGTATTTAAACCTCCATGGTGCTATTAAAGAAGGGCTTTGTACCAGTGATTTGACACCTGTGATTCTGTCTGTCTATGTGTGTTTGTGTACTTCAACCCCCAGCCCCTTGCCTGAAGTGTGTACAACAGAACATCTCACACACTTTGGATATGTGGATGCCAGTTCAAATTTGGCTGCTTCAACAGGAGGTGTGAGTAGAGGAGCATCCAGTTAACAGTCATCCTGGACCTCAGGCAATTTGTTTTGTGAGGAAGAAGAAAAAGGTAACTGGTATGAAATAAAAATAGATTATTAACCTGTCTTATAAACACCTGTCCTAGTTGTACTGACAAAGGTGAATGTACCTGGAAGAAGAGCAGATAGGCCCTTCTGTTATGATTGTTCTTCACTTTAAGAGACAAGCCACACCCACTCCCTGCAGCCCCTCCCCTCCTCTCACCATCTTGATTCTCTTTCTGGTCCCTCTGTCCTCTCTCTCTCTCTCTCTCTCTCTCCCTCTGTCCTCTCTCTTTCCTTTCTCTCTCTTTCTCTCCTCTCTTCCTCCCTTCTCCCCTTTTTCCTTCCCATTCCATAACTCAACTAATAGATATCTCCAATTCTATTCTGTATGATGTGTCTGTCCATGTGTCTCCCACCCACTCGTCTGCCCACAGGCCACTTGCCCTTGGGAACTTGTACTTTAAGGGGACTCACTGTTGATGGGACCAGTCCGCTGCCACTGTATGGCTGGGCCTTGCCCGGGGCTGGTGGCTCTCCCGGTCAGGGAACCTCACTGTCCCTGGGACCAATCCGCTGCTGCATGGCTGTGCCCTGCCTTTGATTGCACCCCTGGACTCATGTCACTGGGACCAGCCTGCAACTGCATGGATGGGCCCTGCCCTGGGCTGGCAGCTCTCAGGACCAAGAACTGGGACCCCACTGCAAGCTGCTTGGGACCCACAGGCAAAATTCATAATACCTTCATTGGGACATCTTGGAACACCAGAGGGTAGAGAGAACTAGTTGCTTGACAGATTAAGTATCTTGACTATATAGGTGCCTGCTTGTGCCTAGAGAAGTGGTACCAATGGTGAAGCCCCAGGAACTGGTACAGGTTCTGGCATTATCTGGAGAGCCCTCTGAAGGTTGGTTTGACATGAGTCTAGCAGGAGGGGTGGACTTGTTCACGAACCTGCAGCTGTCTCTAAACAGCTGGAACATATTTATATCTTTGTTTCATAGCAAAATATTATGGCTTTAGGTTTAAAGACATGACTATTTTAGAAGACAGTCAGAGGAAATTTAAAACTCTGATCCCCTAAAGTTATATCATTTATGAAGTGCCTGAGCTGAGAGCAAAGACCTGTATTTTGGTTATAGACAACTTAAGTTCACAAGTTAAGAAAGCTATTCAGAAGTCTCTGAAGGGGCAAGTTCTGGGCCTGAAAACTTCTTATCTCCCTGTGAGTTAAGAGTACCTATAGGCCTGCAGACCTGCAAATCCCAGGCATCAGAAGTGATTAGCATTTCCCTCTATAAATATTTAAAGACCCTCAACATCCCCTTATCTCTTACTATCAGCAAGGGGATGCCTCCAGACCTGAAATTCCAGCAGCCTACTTTCCCCTCTGCCTGTTTGCAAAATAATGCTCCTGAGGAAAAAATAAAGTTTTCAGCTAGATCAGGATACAGACTTGCTGTCCATTTCTTGCGTCTCTTGTCCCTTTCATTCCTCCCCTCCAGGGCAGATCTGGTTATATTCCTGTAATGCTGGTCTGGACAACAAGGCATGCCTCCCAAAGGCAGTAAGTAAGATGCAGGTACCCAGTTTATGAGCCCTTAACTGTTTTCATGGCCCTGAGAATTGCAAGCCTGGACCCTTGCTGTTGCCAAAGAATTGTCGATTGAATCTGTATGTGAAAGTGTCCTGGACACTTTTACAACAGGACAGGACAATAAAAAGGACTTGCTGAGCTGATTGTTTCCTCAGCTA